GGAGGGTGTTGTTCAGTTTCCAGGTGTTTACTCTTTTCTTGTTGATCTTCCTATTGTTGATTTCTGGTTTGATAGAATTTTGATCTGAGAAGATGCTTTAAATTTTTCAATGTTTTTAAATTTATGAAGGCTTGCTTTGTGGCCTAGCATATGGTCTATCCCGGAAAATGTTCCATGTGCACTGGATACAAATGTATATTGTGTTGGGTGAAGTGCTCTCTAGATATCTATAAGGCCAAGTTGGTGGATTGTATTGTTTAGCTCTTCTACATCTTTGCTGAGTTTCTTTTCAGTTGTTCTATATTTCAGAGAAAGTGGTGTATTAAAGTCTCTCACTATGACTGTGGAGTCATCTATTTGGTTTTTCAGCTCTTTTAAAGTCTGATCTATTTATTTTGGGGTTGTTTCATTGGGTCCATAGATAATTTATTATGCTTATATCTTCATGTTCAATTCATCCTTTAATCATTATATAATGTCCTTCCTTGTCTCATATGGTGGTTTTTATCTGAAAGTCAATTTAATGAGAAATTAATATTGCCATTCCTGCTCTCTTACAGTTGCCATTTGCTTTTATATATCTTTTTCCAACCTTTGATTTTTAGTCTATTTTTGTCTTTATCACTAAGGTGTGCCTCTTGTAGGCAGCATATTGATGGGTGTTGTTTTCTTATCCAATCTGCAACTCTCCCTCTCTTTAGTGGTATATTTAATCCATTAACTTTCAGTGTAATTATTGATAAATTGCTTGTTGTCATTTTGGTATGTGTTTTTTCATGGTGTCCCTGGGTTTCTTTGTTCTGTATTATTTTCTGTGCTGAGCTCATTATGTTTATGTACCATGTTATCATTTCCTTTGTTGCTGTTGTTTTAGTATTTGCTGAATATTTGTGCTTGTCCTGTTTTTTCTTGTGCTATGAAGGTTTATAATTTTTCTTTGAGGTTACCTTATGATTTATAATTTTCTCCCTGAATTTAGAACAGTCCATTCTATCTTGCAACTCTCTTAACTTCCTCACCATTTAGAAGTTCTGTAACTACACAGTCTTTTCCCTCTTTTCATTTGTAGTTGTCCTCACTTGCCAATTGATGTCTCTGGTTTCCTGTTCACAATCTTGTAAGCTTATAATTAAAATAAATAAATAAAATAAAATATGTTTTTAATTCTAATGTTGTTCCTGCATCCTTCAACTTTCTTTGAAATGTGATTTCATAATTAACCATAAATCATATATTCTGTATTATTTATAGTCCCATCTAATTTTTTAAAATGTGTGATTTTATGCTCATTACTCTGATAATTATATTTCTCTTTGAAGGAGTATTTTAAATCAATGTTTGATGCATAGTTATCTTATTTCTGTTCATATCCGCAAAGTATTTTTTACAGAAGGACTGAAATGAGAATTATTTTTGTGATAGAACTTGGTTCTATTGCTCAGAGATATTGTAACATTAGGTGTTTCCATAGTAACTCCACCTAAACCATTTCAGGACACTTCCTTCTGCAGTCATTTGAGAATATATTTGGATAGTCCTTGTGTGAAATTGAATTATGAAAACGCTTCTGAGAAAAATAATTTTTTAAAGTCATGTGCCACTTTATATGTTAGTTCTGGTGGTGTAGTGGCTAAGGCATTTGACTACTAACCAGAAGGCTGGTGGTTCAAACTCACCAGCCAATTGTCGGAAAGAAGATTGGGCAATGTACTTCCGTAAAGATACTGTAATGGAAATCCAAGAGGTGTACCTGTGAGTTGGAAACAACTCGCCGGCAGTGAGTTTGGTTTGTCTTGGTTTGGTCACTTTATATGTCCATTTATTCTTGGATTTCTGAATGCTAGAAAATTACCTCTAGCTCTTCAGCTACTGCTTGGGAAGTTCTTTAGCCCTTGACATATCTGGAGATTCTCTCACTTTTAAGGCCTGAAAACATGAAGTTCTACTTACTGATCATACACCCTCTTACGATTTCACATATTTATTTACTCCTATTTGAACTTAATCATTAATTTGCCACCAATTTCTATTTTTGACCTTTTCCTATTTTCTAGTCTGACACTGTAGTTCTAGTTTTCTACTCAATTAGGAAAACAATAATGAGCCATTTGTCATTACTTACTACATGAGAACACTGTGTGTGGTAGTCAAATTTGTATGCTAACTTGGCTGGGCCTGGTTGAGTGGCTGGGCAGTTGGTGGTAGTCATTCCCCATGATGACACTGGCAATAAACTCCATGGTGGGATCTACCACAAGCAGCTGAGTAGCTGTCTTTGGGATGTGGTCTGTTTCCTGTATCTAATGAGAAGCCTTGGAGATAGTCTCTAGTTTATGGCACTCTTGGACCCTGCATGTAGCCATGTCATTGTTCAGCAGCCTGCCACAGTCTGCTGATCCTGGGACTTAGAATGGACATGAATTAATGGCCTGCCATGTGGTTTGGTAACATCGGGACTATGTCATTTTATTTGTCGACTTTGGGCTTTGTAGCCTCAGCAGCTGCTAGCTGCCTGGTGAAGAGATGCCTCTAGCTTCAGTGGGCCAAGAGCAAGAGCCAGAGCTGAAGTCCAAGGTCAAGGGGCTTTCACTTAGCCCCTAGAGCCTGGCACTTTGAACTTGGACTTCTAGCCTCCTGAACTGTCAGAGAATAGACTCTTAGTTGTTAAGGCTATCACATTTGTGGTATATTCTTGTCAGAGGGAGACTAGGTAATCAGAACACTGCATCTTTATGACTACCTGCCATTCCTGCCCAGGAAGTTCTGAGTTTTGAATATTTCTCAGGGTTATTTTGGCTCAGTGCCTAAGGCATTTGGCTGCTAACTAGAAGTTTGGTGATTCAAACCCATCTGCAGAAGGAAGACTGGGCAATCTACTTTCATAAAGATTTACCACCTGGGAAACCCAAATGGGGTCGCTATTGGTCAAAATCAACTGGATGGGAGTGAGTTTGTTTTCTTTTTGTTTGTTTGTTTGTAGGTTGGTATAGTGTTGCAAAAGCACACTAATATGAGCTAGTAATTGGTTCTAAAGTCCTAAATTTAATAACTCAGTCAGAGATCTCTAGCTAGGAAATGAGGGTGTGTGGGCAACCAAACAAAAATAAGCATGTTTATTCATCGTTGTCAGTTGTCAGTGTTGCTGACTAATTCTCATTTTTGCTTATTTAGCTTTAGTTGGTTCTTTACTAGACATTTCTGATGTCAGCTTAAAGCTTCTTGACTTGCCTCGAGAAACTAATTCCTTTACCCATCTACATTTTAGTTCAACCCATACCTATTTTTTTCTCCTTCTCAGAGAAGATTGAGGCGTCCAACTAAATTGCCTGAGTTTCTACTCATTATCAGCTCAAAAAGTCCTCTTCTCTGGCTGAAAAAAAGAAAAAATTCAATTCAATTCTTATTGAATTGGATCCTTTCCATTATTGCTTTCTCAAAAACTGTTCTTCCTCAATTGTTTCTATTGATATCTACTACCTCATAGTCTTTCTTTCAGGGTGAGGTAGAGGAGAAGTAGAGAGTGAGCATGTCATATACTTTTTCCTTTTATACTGCTCATAGCTCCCATGAGTATTTAAGGTAGCCTTTCCTACCCCACAGATCTAGTTATTATCCAAAGTTCTCCTTTGTTTTATATACATCTTTCCATCTTAGACTTGCTTATCTACCACAACAGATTCAAATACACCTTAATAATTGCCATGTTTCCAACTATTTTTCATGGATCTGTGTATGTATCTGAATTTTACATTGATGCTTCAAAGTTGGAAAGTCCAAGGCTGAATGTAGTTTTCCATTTAGTCTCCAAATTCCACTATTTATTTTTTTAAAATCACTACATTTCCTTATTTAATCTAGCTGCAAATATGTATAGCCAGTCAAGGACAGTGAAACCTTGGATAATCTTAAGTGCTTTCTTTATTCTATCTCTAGATAAAATTAGTCTTCAAATCTATGTGTTGTTCATCCCCCCTACACCTGTCAGTTATTATCAAGGTTATTATCATTACTATTATTATGACAAATACTCTGTAAATTCTTACAGGGTAATTCTGCTATTCAATTTTCCTAAAGCTTAACTGCAGTAATTTAAAATCAATGAACTATTCAAGAATTTTTATGTCTCTTCTCTTGAAGGCTGAATTAAGTATTTCCCTTTAAATTAATAACTCTCCTTTCTCTAATTCCAAAATATATTCCCAGTTATTCCAATATAGGAACCCCATACCTCAGCCAGATTAAATGATGTGGTATTTCCTAGAAGTAACCAGTATGTTCTTTTTGTTCAACCCTCCAGGGATCTCCTCTATTGAAACCTCAGCCTCATAAATAAGGCTTTATTATATTCCACCTCAACTATTATAAATGGTTTACTCTCTTACTAGATGGACTTTCCTTTCTTACTACACAATAAATTCTGTTATTAATTTTATTTATTTTTCTCTCATAAACCTTATCCAGGTACTTGCTGTATCCTCCTCCTAGACTGTTGGCCTTTTTATAGATAAGAGATAGGTTTAGTTATGGTTTGAATACTGGAGCACTATGTTTACTTATACCAGTTGATCATTAATTATTTACATTTGTTTTGTCAAATGTAATTACTTGAATGTTTTAGACATATTTATGTAATCAGAAAGTAAAAATGTTACTAGGTCTCTCTGCAAACAATGTTATTCTTATTCTCAGGTAACAAGTAAAATTAACTATAAATCTTAAAGTAACTGATGCATGAAGAAATTAAGGAATTTATTCATAGATAAATCCTGAATTCTAATAGAGCTGGGAAAAGACTCCAGGTTCTTCATAACTTTCTTGTCCTATTCATTTCAAATAAGACCCTCTATATGAATGCAAACTGCTACCATCATTTGTTAAGTGGATTCAATCCCGTATTTCCTATATATTGCCAATGATTTGATTCTTAAGCTTAAGAAAATTCTGGCCAGATATTCATCCTCCAACTAACCTAAAAGTGAATTATATTTCATTGCTTGTAGGATGGTATGGGAAATCTGAGAGTCACCAAGAAGGGAATCCGACTTGAAGGTATATCTGAGTTTCTACTTCCATTGTATGTGAAAGAAATTCATTCCCGAAAGGTATGTGATATTGGGTTGGTTTACTGTGAAAGATAATTTAGAGGTCATGTTTTAGCTTATAAGAGGATAATAGTATCCTCTTATCCCTTGAGTATATATTAGTTTCCTTGGGTTAAAGATCTGTTTGAAAACTCAAAACAGTTAAACAATTGAAAAACTAGTGAAGAAAGTTAATTTTAAACAGGTAAATAAAAGAAATATTTTCAATTAAACTGTATAATTTGTTTGGTTTTTTTTTTTTTTTTGGTTGTCTATAAATGTTGCCTCTCCTATTTTCACTGATAGTTAGAAATACATATTTAGAGTGATTCCAAAAGGGGCATTTGATGCATCTTGACTAATTTTTCCAAGATACATTGAAAGTAATAAATATTTTAAATTTAATATAGTTTAGCTCTTTTCAACTTTAATGAGCATGCATTATTTGAAAGAGATGGTATAGTTTAATTTAGAAATTAATTTTATTTCTGGCTATATATTTTTTTCAAAACCAGCCAGAATATTTATCATTTCAAATCTGTGTATGCATGTGCTATATGTATTTTTTAACAGTATGTTAAAAATCAGTATATTATAACTTAAGAATGCTATACAGATCATTGTTCATTTTAGCTTAAGTATATTATTTCTTCAGTGGTAGTAACTACTCCTGGGTATATCAAAATATTACTACAGTATTTCAAATCTATGAGGTATCCTCCTGGGATATGTGCATATGTGCAGAAATAAATTTATTAAGACAGAAATAATAGAAATATTTGTCATTCTGTTAAATATGGAAAAATATTCAGCTTTATTTTATAAATATGGATATCTATTTTAGATCAAAATAGTGCTTTTAGTATTGCAAATATAATACATTAGTAAATGTTTTCATAGTAAGCCATAATTTGCCTCAAATCTATTTTTTCACCTTCAATATTAAAATGAGAACAGAGGAGTTTTGTTCTTAAAATTTTGAATTAGAATAATTATATTAATTTTAAATTTTAATTTTTGAACTGATAGAGCCTTGCCAATGTATATGTGTGTGTGTGTGTGTGTGTGTGTGTGTATATATATATATATATACACATATATATATATACACATATATATATATACACATATAGACTGCTACTCTGAGTTCTCAGTATTTTATATTGAGACATCATTTTTATTTTGATTAGGTGAGTAACACAATAGACATGTTTGAATATTTGGCCTTCTTATACAATTAAACTTAAGAAATTATAAATTATTTTTTTCAATGTTTTTGTTTCTTTTTTTTATGGCAAACAAATAATAATAAGAAGAAGATGCTCACATATATCTGTGTCTCTCCTCTTACTGGAAGTCATCACTACCATAGTTATTTAAGTTCTTTATTTGGTTCATACTATTAAACAGTTTAATATTTGAAGAAATTAGAACTGATACATAAAATTTAAAAAAAATTATTTAACATAAGAAAAAGGTGAGGTTAATTCATAGGCAGGAAACTCTTTGAAAATGCATCCTATTGATAATTTCAGGGACAAAAAAAGGTGATTTATATTCAAAGGAATTTAGACCAGTTTGCTGTGGCCACCTGGGAACACAACTTAGAGAAGGACTGAAAAGTCCTCTGCCAGTAGGCAGATCATAAGGTTTATCTTCCCAGCAGCATCATTTTTGAGAATATAACAAAAGGTGTGATGTAATATTGTCCCGGGAAACTGGAATGCATGTTTTATCCGTCTGTAGAATGAGTAAGGAAACATCCACTGATTTTATGCTGTAAAGTGAAAGCTGGTGGCAGTTGGGCCTCCTGATGTTTATCACTGGAAAAGGGATATGTTAAGTTTATGTTTATGTTTTTGTTAAGTTCACAAGCATTTCCAAAGTCTACTGTATTGATTGGAATCTATATTCCCCTTTCACATCCCCATTTATGTCACTTGTTCTTTTTACATGTGCTGTCATTATTATTTGCCTCCCTGTAACTAGGAAGCCCAACAAAACATAGGCAGGTGGGAGCTTGTATATCAGCCATCATACAGGAAGAATGGTTTGCTAAAATTAATAAGAGGAGGCTCAATTACTTCTTGGAGATTTCATATAAAAAAGAAATAGATATATATTTCATTAGCAGTTCCTACATTATAATTATCTGGTCTATGAATGCATACAGTTGTCTATTCTCTGCCATAAAATCTGTCCACTGTTTCAAAAAGCCACCCCATTTTCTTTGTGCCTTACTTTACTTATTAATAAAGTGAATATGATAGAAACTTTCAAAGTCCTTGATTATGTTGAAGAGAGAATACAAAAAAATTAGTAAAATAAACATCAGTAAAACAAAATTTTGCATTTTAGAAATAATAAAATTATACATTTAATATTTCCACATGTTTTCATATATTCAAAATACTTCATAATAATATTCCTAAGTTCCTGGATTTCCAAGGTAAGAAAAGCTACATTAAATTCAAAAGATATTAATAAAGATTCAATCAAACTGAGAAAAATATGAGTTTTTACAACGTTTGTATTTATATTTTTTTTTTCTGCTTTAAACCCAATAGATTGTATTCTCTATATTTAGCTATCATTCTACATTGAAATAATTAATGTTCTTATTTGAAGCAATTTTCTCATTATGTAAGTATTTAATACTACTCCTGAAAAGGTAACACAGAGATATCTATTGGGCAAAAAATATCCATGACCACAAATTCTAGAAGGACCATAACTCACTGCTGTCAACTAAGATCTGACTCATAGAGACCCCTTCTTGGGTTTCCCAGACAGTAGCACTATGGAATTAGTTTACCCAATCTTTCTTCTGAGGAATGGCTTGTGGGTTTGAACCACCAGCCTTCTGGTTACCAGTCAAATGCCTTAGGCACTATGCCACCAGAGCTCTTGAAAGGACCATTGCTAGTGTAGACCATTGTTTGTAGACCATGTTCTACAAACTTAGCAAAGCACTGTTATCCCTCCTCCAAGAGTTCCTGGGGGATAACCCTAAGAAGTACAGTGCTACTCTGACAAACATGGAGTCACCATGAGTTGGAATCCACTGTACTGCAGTTCCCCCTCCTCCAAGAGTTCTACATAACCTGATGTGTTGGTTGCTGAGAATAAAAATGGCTTCAGATAAAAGTAATGATATAATTTTAAGCAGACATTCAAAATGAATAGAGCAGTACTTAAGGTGAATTTATTTAGCATTCGATATTTGATACATGGATTATTGTTGAAGTAAATGAATGAAAAACAATTATGCTATTGTATACATACAGTAGACTAGGCAACATAACTGACTTTTCCCTAACAACATTTATACTAAAATATGCAATAGATGTCTATTGATTCAGTACACAATTACTTAAAACAAAAAACCATTGCTATTGAGTCTGTTCCAACTCACAGTGACCTTATAGGACAGAGTATAACTGCCTCATAGGGTTCCCAAGACTGTAAATCTTTTTTTTTTTTTTTTTTTTTATTAGGATTTGGGTGAAGATTTACAGAGTAAATTCACTTTTCATA